TTGTTTTCCTCAATATGTATACAAGCCATTTTAGTGCTATTACAAATGTCTTGTATCCTGTTTCTCTCAACAGAAGTGGAAAAATAACAAGCTCAAAAAGTAGAGCATGACAAATTTGTTCAGAGTACCTCATATTGTTTTCTCCCTGTTAAAAGATCCATAGTAACCTTCAACTATTCTGTCACAATAATTATCTAGAAGTTTAGAGAACTGTAAGTGTTGCAAAATGGAGATTCTCTTTCAGCACAAAAAACCATCTCTGGAATGAAAGAGGTTAGCATCTACTTATGTTAATGAAATTCCCCAAACGAATATTTACACGAGTGAAGATAAGTCTTCATACATGTTTAGCTTTGCAAGAGCCTGAGGAAAAAGAGAAGCATGTGCCAAACTAAAGACATCACAAAGTGTTTTTGTGGAAATCTTCCCCCAGATCCCCCATTCTCACTGCCAATATAGGGACTACATATCTTGGCAGTCATAGAAGTCAAGGAAAGAAAATAAGTGACATTTAGGCTCAAAGTGCATCAAGTTCCTTTTTCACTTCATTGGAACTGAAATTCAACAGGATCATTATTCTTATGTCTCATATTCTTGAGGCTACCAACAGACAAACCACATTTTCCTTGTTCAGTTTAATTATTCAGAATCTCCTATAGACCAGCAGGCACACAAGAAAGTCAGGGAAGCTGCATGCTCACAGTGAGCTGAGTTTATGTGAATCCAGAGCTGTTATTATATTCAGCATAGTTGTGAAGGCCACTTACCACAGCCTGACAGTTTGGAGCATGGAAACCATCATCCTAGCCCTTCATTATAAATACCACAGTTATCAAATATAGCCAGCACTGAAGTTCACAACAAACCACAAAATGATAGCTTCTGCAAAAGCCGTAGTGGTCCTCCACTTCCACTCACACCTGGTTTTGATCAAAATATTTGCATGGATTTTTGGCTACTTGAAGCCATGTACTGGACATGACACTATACACAGCTCCCAATCCTGGAACAGGGGACCACAGAAGCAGCAGCCCTGCCAGCACTGCACTTCCCAGCTTCTTTCCTGCACTCCTAGCTTTGTGCTGATACACAGGATATTTTCCTCCCCATTATTCATATAGATAAAGACAAGGAATTCTGAATTTAAAAGTCCAAGGAATACTTGGTCATGATAACAGGTCAATTATCAAGGACAGTACCATGCGGGTTACTATTAAAAATCAAGCATCTGATTAACAAAGGAAGAGAAAGAAATACTAAACAGTAAGAAAGTGAAATAAGCTGGGCTCAAGTAAGTCAACTCACTGAAGTCTAGAACATATTTGCTACAAGTATATTTTAACATCGCTTTTGTGTCTCTATGTTTTTGCCATGCACAGACAGATCCTTCAGGGGGATTCATTAAAAAAAGGTGCATCTTAGTTCTTACAAAATGTGGTTGTAACACAGATGGTACCAGGGGTGGTGCAAGAGAAAGAGCAGAAGGAGAAAGGAGGGAGGCAATACTCTGAATTGTTACTAAAGTCAGGAGAAGCCTCCACTGACAGCATAACTTGGGTCAAACAGCAAAGGGTTCTTCAGTTGCTGATCCAGGAGAAGCCTGAGGCCAAGGTGATATAAATGTCAAGGTTACCCCAGGCTTTTAAGCACTTTCTCATGGCTGTTGACTAATTTCAGGACCTTGGCAACCTCTGTCCTGCCAAGGCACTGGTTATTTTCCCACCTAATATCTTGGTTGGTCTAGAGGTTCATGAGTGACCACAGGTCTTATTGAGATTTAGACACACAGAAAAATAATCTGCAGTTTTACCTCTGTCCATCCACTGTATGCATGTTGAGTGGACAGTGCCAAACGCTTTCATTCAGGAGAGGACAACATTAGACACATTAGTTGACCTCAGCACTGTTCTAAATGTTATAAGCTTAGTAGTGTTTTCTCTTATATACATTTTGACACTTCCTAATTAAAGGAAGGTAAAAAATAACTAAAAAGGAATTGAAACCACCTCTGGTGGTTTTCCAACTGTGTGCTATTTTACTGTTGCAAAAGCTTCTGAAGTTTGATTGCCAATAACATACATCACTGCCTCCTGCAAGACTTTGTAAAACAAGACAATAAATTTCTCTTTTCCAAGACTAATAAAAATTTTAACAGTGTCACATAGGATTGCAGATGACTTTTCATACAAATTATTGGAAAGCTGATTTTGGTTCCATAGAACATATAGCCATATCATTATAGCTTACTAGAGCATGGAGGTGGAGGGCAAATCATATCCCACTTCATCACTCTGCTGCTTCAAGGGGTTAAACATTTTTTTTAAACCCCTTTGGTAGGAAAAGCAATAGAAGGCAAAAATATAAAAAGATATACAAGAGGGAAGATGTTTGCTTAGGAAGCAGATTGAACAAGTTTAGTTCTTCTGTTCTTCTAAGTAAAATATCCATATATGCACCTACTCTGCAGCTTCTGTTAAAAACAGGAAAAAAGAAATAAAATCCATAGGTCTGAACCTAACTGAACCACATTAAAGGGGAATAACAATCCAGGCAATTACAATCTTACTAATGTACAGGTTGGTTGAAGTGATAGTGAGAAGGACTAACTGAGCAAAATTCAGTGGTCTCTCAATTTACTTAGAAACAGATATTACCTTTATTGCCCACCATTAAAAATGCCCCCAAAATGCCGTATTAATTGAGTCTTTGTAATTTGATTAAGTTTAAAGTGTTTTCTTCATATATTTAAAATAAAATATTTTTCCCAATTTTGATATTAAACAATCAGAACATTTTTTTCAATAAAAAATATTTTTTGCCAAATTATTTGTGTAATTTAAATAGTATTGAAGTAATGCTTGTAAATAGTTTTTCTTGGCATCCTTGTCACATGGCTACGGTGTTCAAAACATAATGACATTTTTCAGCTTTAAAAGAGAGGAATTTCTTTTGCCTAATATGTGAGTCAGTAGATAAATCTGAAGACAATGATTGAAATGACTGAACTTAATCAAGAAACCATTTGCAGCTTCAACTGTGATTTATTGCTTTCTTCTGAAATACTGTCACACAAATCATTCCAAGTATCCAATGCTGTACATAGCATGGCATGTCAGATGTGTGGAGGTAGAAATCCTTTCTTTGTAGAACAGGAGTAGCTTAGAAATATCCATGCATTTAAGAGGCTCCAAACCATTATGCTTGTTCCTGTGCTTAATCAGTAACTCACACAAAAAAAATCCCTATTGAGCAGCAAAAGGCTCCTAGCAATAGTAAAGGAGTGAAGGTTTGCAGAAATAGTTTCACTCACACACTTATTTGCATTTACCTCATTTTAGAAAAGCCACAGTCAGTGGTACCAGTTTAGAAATAGCATAAATATAGTCAGGCAACTTGAGCCCACCAGTCTGAAGTTTCACACTCATAGATCTCGTTTGGCTTCCGCCTTACTCTGTGATACCTATATTTCTTGAAAGGGTTAAAGAGGTGGCTGAAATTCTTTCTGCACAAAGGGAGAAATCTTCTGGGCTTGCCTGTAACTGCCCAAACCTTGGCAAAGCTAAACAAAGAGCACAGACCCAAGCCCTGCCAAGATCTCTGAAGGTGAGCCCTTTCCTTGCCAGGTTTTCTCAGTCTATAACTGCTCTTTTTTTCCTTATCATTCCCATTTGTTTTCTTCAAGTCCCCCCTCTCACCCCTTCTCCTCAATTCTCTAAATCCCTCTTAATCTGGAGAGAAGGGAGGGGCATTCTATACTCCAGAAGCACCCTCACTGAAACACCTGGCCAAGGAACAAAACATGGCTTTAAATTCTCATCTCTGCTGAAGGTGATGGAACAGGAAAAGTAAACTCTATGGGTTTACAGGGCTCTCTGGCATCTTTCTCCACAGAAGTAGCTCTTGTGTGGAAAAAGTACTTCATTGAAAGTGAAAAAGAAAGACATTGTAAGTCATTTTATACTCAATGACTCAATGTCAGAAAACTGGGTCCACAGAGAGCAAATGTACTGGCACGACCTAAGAATTAGAACATTTATTCGGGAGAAGGATTGCTGGCCAACCACACTTTGTATTTTATATTACATATGCCATTATTTAAATGGCTAATTGAACAATTCCACAAGCAAAACTGAGAGTGCTTTATCACAGAATACTTTTCCACTCCATGGCTTAAAGCATTCCCACTGGAGACAGTTAAGTAGGGGTCAAAGCTTGCCATTAATGAAGGAATTTCAGCCTTAGCTTTCCAGAACCTGATAAAATATTTTAGCTCCTACCCAGAGTTTTAGTTTCTTTTTAAAGGAGTATTGTTCCAACAATGTTTTTTTTCTGCAAAGCTTATTAAGGGTACAAACTGCTGATGGAGTGGATAGGCTGCTGTCACATTTTGTTGGAACAATTAGTTTGTTCTTTTCAAACAACCATCTGTGTTTTTTTTCTTGGGAACAGAACTGAATTTAAACACAGTGTAGTATCCCACTAAGTATCTGATTGGCTGTACTTGCCAAATTATCACATTCACTGACACTGGATTTATTAAATTTGATGAAATGAAATAAAGGAGATTGGAAGAGGAGTGCCAGAAAACAGTACCTATCTATCTCTTAAAGTGCTTCTTCCTTAAGGGCAACCGGAGGTTGCTGTAGTTTCAAAACTGCCATTTAGAAACCCTCTGGATCTTGGCCACAGAGCATTCTTTTCAAAATTGCCACAGACACTCATCACTCAGATGTGGGACACACAGAGACAAAGCAAAAAGCCAGAGCCACACACGAGCAGCTGCTGACATTTGATGCAGGGGACAGGTGGACTACTCATACACCTAACAATAATATTCCTTGCCCCTCATCCCCCATTAGACATAGAAGCTATAAAAAACATTAAACAATCTCTTAACTTTCACAAAGACTACTTTTAAATACTTGAAAACATTGGTATTCTACTGGGTTTTCTTCCCCATGCCTTCTCAAACTCCAGATTTTCTTAAAGTGGACTCTTACCCTTTGTGACAATAAATATCTCAAGTCAGCAACTTGACTTCTTTGACTTCTTCAAAACAAGAGCCCCTCAGTGCCACAGGAACGTAAAGGAGAGGAGGAATGCAAATTTCTCTGTGCTGCATCTGCTGGAAGATCTTTGGGCTGGTGCAAGGACAGCAAAATGGAATGCCCAGGGCTTTGCAGAAGCAGAAAGCACAAACAGGCATTTGCAATTTCTATCAGCTGAAGAGCAACAGTAAAAATCACACCCACCAGCTAATTAACAGCTCTAGCATCCATTTTGTTTAAAAACCAACAAAAGTAAGGGCATATATGTCCTCCTAAGGTGAGATTTTGTCAGTATTTGCAGGCACTCCCTGTGTGATGTGCAGCAAGTAAGTATGATTGCTGGGTGCTATGTAGTCAGTGCCCAGATTTCAGAGAAGATGCTTTGCCAGAATCCTCCAGACAAGGTCAGCTCAGCATAGAAATGAACTGCAGAGCCCTAAGAAACACCTCGGGGGAGCACACAGGTGTTGCAAATTCGAGTTTAAGTGCCAAGAAAAATAGGATATTTTTAACATTTTGATAAATATTTTTAACATCTTAAATCCTTCTAAGATCTCTTCTGGAGTGGACCACAATTAAAAAACTTGATGTCACTTTATTTGTTTTCCAGTTGATATAGGTAGGGGAAAATGTGGACTGCAAAAAATAAATATACAAACATTCTTACCTGTCACAGATGTGACAGAAAACATCCTTGATGCTTTTTTACCACATGGACACAGAAAACGAAATACTTACAGGTTTTTTTTTTTTATCTTGCAAATCCTGATAATGTAACAATCAATTCTTAAAATTAGATTTGAGAAAGGGGGAATTCTGCTTCACAAGCAAATTATTGACAGAAATACAAAAATTTTGCATAATGCTGTTACCTTCCATTTTGTAAACTTTTAGCAAAAAGCATTACTATATCTGTCCTCCAATTTCAGACCATTTGCATGGTCTTTATGTTTTTATGTGTGGTCACTAGGTATGCCTGTTCTAAGAATCTAATGAAATCTTGAGCCATCCACATATTGGAAAATTCCAGGCTGCCAAATTTTAGGAAATTAATATATCTATGACTTAGTATTACGGTACCTCAAACAGTGAGGAGTTTCATATCCATCAAGTCTTATATCATATATTAACTAGTAATTGTAAAGCAAATAGGTGAGTTTTCAGCATAGAAGCCATGGAATTCATAACTATTAGTTTCACAAGTGCTTAGAAGTGCAGAAGATGCATATTTTTGCAATAAATTTTTGACATTGATTGATGGCTCTATGTTCCATTTGAAAAATATAGTTGCTGAAGTAAAAATACACTATTCTGCACCTTCAAAGTTTGGTAAATTAACTTACTTTGTTATCCTTATGAAAACTATAAACTTACACAATTTTGCTAACTTAAACATCTGATACAGGCAAATTTTACTTTGTCAAGATGAAACAGTAAAAGAAAAAAATAAAGCTGATTTTCAATAATAATTAAAAAATAATTAGTTTGTATAAACTTCAGTTGTACTAACTTTTTAAAGTATTGATTAAATAAGCAAAATCAAAACCCAAAATGAAAATGTACTTTCATTGTACAGTGTTTGTCACATTGTTACTGCAGGTTGACAAAAAGAACAAGAGATTTATTTGGTTGATTCTTTTCCCTTACAATCATTTCTGTGGTTTTAAGATCATAGGAAGTTTTTAACTTTTACTTTAGATTTTCAAGAATTTTTTTGTTTTTTTCTTTTATCTTACTCTAGTGATGAATTTCTGTTTAGCACAAATAAGCAGCATGATTTAGTTTTATTCACAGGATCTTGACCTTTTCTCAGCTCTTAATAAGCCAAAGTGGACACATAGGAAACTATGTGCTGAACACAATTATGCATTTCTGAAATCCTTCTTGTATAAACAAGTGGAGCAAACTCAGCCAGTAGCATAATTATTTTCAAAGGTGATAGGAAAAAATCTGGGGTCATTGGGTCAGTGGAAATACTTTTGCCTTTTTAGTAGGCCGGTAACCAAATTCAAAAAGACATTTCAGAATCTTGCAGGACCAAACAGAAGATCTGAGCATGGCTGTAAAGCATGACAATGGCAGTGTCAAGATTTATCAAGCAAAACTCAGAATACCAGATCCACAGCTCAGGGAGTGCTATTTTTGAGGAAAATGTTATTTTAAACATCTCTGTTGTCATCATAGCTCTCTGTAAAAACATCTCTGTTGTCATCATAGCTCTCTGTAAGCCATTGAATTCAAAATTATTCTTACTAGTTGGGGTTGTAATATGTGTCCCTCTCTACACAGGAAGTGGGTCAACATAAACAAGTGTCTTTTTCATTCTCTGCTGCAAGAATGAGATATATTAATATTACTTTGAGACTGTGTATCTTGCTGTCCAGTATCCCGAAAAATGAAGGCAAATTTATTTTTAGAGCAATCTTAAGCTGTCCAGTATCCCGAAAAATGAAGGCAAATTTATTTTTAGAGCAATCTTAAGCTCACACCACTACATTTTAGAGAAATAATCACAGTTTTCTGAAAAAACAGCACAAAAAAATCAAGCCTATTTTTAGTTTTGTAAATTTTCATTTTTAAATTTGTTTGATGCTCTGTTTCAATCATCAAAACATTAGTAATTAGTAATTAGTAAGTGGAAAGCTTCTTTTCAGTTGTCCTTGCATTTGTCTGGGTTTTTTTAAATGGCATGCTGAAAGAGAAAGCTTGTACCTCTGAAACACACAGAGGAAGACATGCACCATCCTTGCCTCTGAAAATGCTTAACTGGTTTTCTGGCGGATCAAAAATTCGACTCATTGAAATAATAGTTCACAAGATGTCCTGTAGGAGCCAGGAAAAAAAGCATGAAGCAGCAGAAAAATATACACTACAGTTTATGTGTTGATTCAAGAGAAAAATGGAGAAGGTTAAAAATAGAATGCCCATTTACATGTAAAAGAGTGGGAGTATCTTACTCCAGAGACAGTGACTGGCAGTAGATGGAACAGTTCCAGAGAGTGAAACTGCTGGTGAAGTAAATTCAGACTATTTTGAGTGACAGACAAACCAATCCTGCAGGTTAGGGTAGCATAGGTGGAAGTGTGGTCTGACAGGATGACATGAGGGATGCAGTGTGTGACACATGGGCTCCTCCACGTTCGCTGTTGTCTCCTTCAGCTCACTGCTGTGGTCAGCGGGGCCATGGAAGGAGCACGAGGACCACCCTTGCTGGCTCCTGTCTCAACACACACAGAGCCCTGCTTGTGCAGAGGCACAGACAGTGGAGAGGAGAGACCTCTGCCTCTGCCTGGGATCATGTTACAGCCTAAAGCACCAAGTTCAGCTCCCCTTACCCAGACACGCATTTTCTTTGCAAGACACTCTGTATGAATGAATACAAAGGAGTAAACAGTGAAATACCCCCTCTGTGCCAAGAAGGTTTGGAATGAGTTCTCCTGACAGGAAATCTGTTACCTGACATGTCTTGCACAGCACTTGATTAAACTCAACACACTTGGGTGCAGATTCTTAGTTACAATGGGGCTGGGTTTTGCCACCCTGCACTGCTGCACTTCTCACCAATAACTGCAATCAAGGAGAATTTTAAACAAGCCTAAATCAGGGCAGTCCTCAGGTTGTTTTATGGCTTGTGGAAAGCAGCCCAGTCAGCAGGGGACCACACAGCTGGAGAAATACAGGAAGTGAAAAAATAGGCCAGTGTTAAAAAAATCGGCAATTCTGAGCATGTACGAGAGTAACTGCAAACTGCCTCAACCTGGAACCATCTATCTTCACTTATTCATTTGAAGAAATAAGGAATTTAAAGAGTATTTCAAAGTAAGGAAGAACTTGACTCTTTTCTCCCCAAGCCTTCACAGGGAGCAGCTCTGATGATGGGGAGTCCCATTCCTTCACACTTACAGTGGTACAAGTAAGGAAGCAATGGAGGCTGGCTTCCTGCCCCTTTTTATTTGCATTCCAGAAACCATTTTTGCACCATCTGTGATCCTGTTGCAATACCTACATGGGAATAAAGATTACCTTCAGACTTCATTGTAGATAAGACCACACATGGCAGAAGGCATGAAGAACGTGCTGCCTGAGGCCTTATTCACAGATGTGACTGAGTCTCCTCCTCTTACAGGTAACTATCTGATCAGCTGCTGTAAGGGCAGCTCCCCCAATTCCTGCTCCCCATGTAAATGGGGACCACAGGGATGTGCTTGTTTTCCCTACTGAGAGAAGAGCTTTTTATGGTCAGTCCTCTCTAATACATGAATAGCCTTCCACTCTCCCAGAAGGGAGATAAATTGGCTATGCAGCCATTTTGCTCCAGACCAGAACAACACAATAAATCATAATGCTTTGTCAGGGATGGGGATGTGAACTGTGGTGCCTGGTTCAGGTGTTTCTCAGCAGCTTTCAATATAATCTGCAAAGAAAATGCCTGACCGGAGTTGCCTCTACAAAACCATTCAGTTCATTGCCTATGGGAAGCACGTACTTCTCACATCACCCTTCTTCCCCTCACAGTGCTTTTCAGTAGTATGGCAAAACACCAGACCTATCTATATTCAGGCACAGCCTTTGCATGGAAATCTCTGCATAGCGGGCAGCTTTCCGGCTTGCTTTCCATCACAAATCTTACAGCAGAGGAGCAGCAGTTTCAAAGACTTTTACAAGGAAGCCTCAGGGCTTCTTTGCCAGACTTCAATGGATATGTTTAGAGCATGGTATATGGAGGTTGAACTGCCTGACTCTCATTAACATTAACAGAGTCAGAAGGCTAAATGTCTGCACACCATTCTGGTGACGTACCTGCAGCATCTGGCAGGTAGCCTGCTGCCATTTCTAAGTCCTTTTGGATAAGATGTTTCCTTCCTCAGTATCAGGACAGCAAAGTTAAACAGAGGGATAGCCTACTTTCCTTCAGCTAAGACATTCTAAAAAGTAAAATAACTATGAGGGCTCTGCCTGAATTTTAACACAGGACCTTCGTCTTGCACATGAACTTACATAAACCAGAAACCTTACAAAAACTAAATTCAAAACCCCAAATCAAACTGCTGTCAACCTATTTGTTTAAGATGAAAGAGCAGGGTAGAAGTTGCACAGGATTCATGGTCTCACGAAAATTCTAAGATGTCTGGATTATATGTGCTCTTTGAAAACTATAGATAAAGGAGGTACTTTTCAAACACAAGGCTGTTGCAACTGAAGCAAGTAGCTAATTTAAAATTTAACCTGTATTATTATAAAAAATCCTTCATTCCCTGTTTATGAACACCTGCAGTTTTTATCACACACATTTTCACTGGAAACAATCTGTTAAAACTGTAAAATTATTATAGTGTGGTCCCATAGTATGTCACACTGGCAGTACCTTTGATCTCAGCCCCTGGGAAACATTTTTTCATGTGGGCAGCAGCAGCAGCTGTAAATACAATGTTAATACTGTTGAAGTATTAAATTTCTCTTTCATTTTGCTGGCTGAAGTCTGAGTGCTTATGCAGTACTATACTTCCCATATAACTCACTTTCAAGTTTCTGAAGTTTCAAGATAATCGAGTGTCCGAGATAATGGACTGTCTTAGGTACTTTTAATAATGGTGTTACTAGTTAAAAAAAAAGGACCTCTCAGTTTCTTGAAAATCTGTGAAAACATACTTTGGTGATAAATTATAATCTCTCAACGTCTTGATCCCCTCCTTAGCTGCTGGACAATTCCCAGCTTTCCTGCTTTAACCTGATTAGAAACAACCTGTTGCCTAAATTACTTTGTTACAACCTACAGATTACTGTTTTTTCTCGCATGTTTAGTCCTACTTCAACAAAATTGTCTCTTTTTAAAATGCTCTCCACATCCCTGGTGATTGTCTGATTGTCTTAACACTAGAATTCTAGATTGTGTACCGACTTTGCCATACACAAAGAGCACAAGGATCTGCCCTTAGCTTGGCATCACGCTGTGTAGCCCACAGCCACCACACACCCATCCCAACCATTCCTGAAGCCCATGGTGTAACAACTAGAAAATGCCCTGAGCAGTGTAAAAAAATAGCTTGAGATAGATGAATGCTGCTCAAACCCCTACTATTTTGTCCTGATGGAGTTGCTTTGCAGTAATATCTTACTCATTCAAGTTTTATATGGGCAAAATTATAAAGATTGGGCAATTTTATTGTTCATGTACTGAGTACACATCTTCACTAAGAATATGTCTTTAACAACATTTTAATAAAAAAAAACAGGACACACATTCTGTTTAGTGAAAATCTACCTTTATGCACATATCAGTGTTTTAAGCGCTTTATGCCTTTCAAGGGCACTTGCATTAAAATGTCTTAGGAAAAGAGATTCTACCAAAAAAAGCACAATCTTAAGTGTCATAATTATCTTGATTTAGCCTCTTACATTCACTGCTTTTGATTCTGAATGAAAACACAAGGCACAAGGCCTGTTCTACTTTGTATGCTCTGTACACACTGCCATCAGAAGTGCATAATAATATGCATTTTTGTTCATTTTCAAATACCACTGTAATAGTCAGTTGTGTGCACACAAAGCTTTTTAAATGCATACGCTGTGGTTTTGTGCCTTAAGGCAAATCTCATTTCATGCTTCTTGGTATCAATATAGCTTGGGAATGCAAGGACTGAAGCCTATATTCAGGGTCTAAATCCAGAAAAGATATAAAAGACCTGTTAGAAGGAGGTGGGGATGGAGGGAGTGTGGGAGAAAAAGTGGCAAGCAGGAGAGTACACTTCCTACCAAAGCAGGTACATCACTTTCCTCTTCAACGTGGGAGTAGAATTAGACATCCATTTGAGACTTAGAAGAGCCAGGAGGCTAATGTTCATGGGTTTTTTTGTTAATCAGGCATCAGGTAAAGCTTTTAAATAACCACTTGCAAGGACTGGAAGTCAGTCTTCCACTTTTCCCAAGCAAGAGCTGTAACTGCCCCAGGACACCTAAATAACATGACTATTTTGGCACAAATTCTGTGCACACTCTCTTCCACCTCCTCCCACTAATGAAAATAAGTATTCCTTTCATTCCTGGATGTTTATTTTAAATGTAGAGGTTTTTGCAGAGGAAAGCCATATTAGAATAGCTTTTACACGGAAAATTGGGGTAAAAGATGGACCTAAACCCCTTCTGCCAGGCAAAGATTGAACCCACACTGCATACTCATACTCCTGAATGAATGGAGACTCACATCACCTGCTGCTGCTGCTGTGCTTCATGCACAGCCTGCACCATTAGTCATGCTCGAAGGATGCCAGCTGGATAGAGCCCCTCAGGTGAAACAGACTGAGGAATGCCTTGCTTATGAATTCAAATTAGGCTTAAATGTAAATTATGGCTGGGTCACTCCACACTAAGCTGGTTCGAGGATGCCCAGGAAAAAGGAATTTAAAGCCTTCAGGAAATGTAGGGATTTTGACATGAACGGGTGGCTGAAGACAGGTTCAGTCTGCACTCCCTCCAACCCAGCTCTAACTAAGGCTGCTCCATTGGAGAAGCTGAGCAGCCGGGTCAGTGCAAAGGCTCAGAAAAATGCATGGCAACTAAAGAATTCAGGTGGCTCCAAATTTATGCGACCCCTTTATGACTTCAAGGAGTCATAAAGGCTGCAGTTTGGAACACAGAGCCTTAAAGCAAGTATTAGGCAGCTTTGCTCTTTCATATTCATCCTGTCTTGATTTTCTTCAGATTATTTATACGATGAAAAATCCTAGTAAAAGAAATTCGAAATTTTAGGGAGGAAAATTTCACATGACTTTAGAGGGGTTGATGGAAAGATTTACACAACCACAGTGCAAATGATGGTGGCTTGTAAAAGAACAACCTGTCAGATGTGAGACAAGAATAGAAAAGAAGGACAACTTGACTTAGATATGCAGGTACCAGCCCTTGTTTGAGGGGGAGGGTTCCAATCACCTGTTCTATAAAAAGCACATGACATAAGGGACTTGGTATGACTGTATCACAGCCTCCAGTGGCCCAAATCTGTTTGTCTGCACTGACAAAGCTGCTTCTTTGGCAGCCTTGTCCTGGGTCACAACTCCAAGTGCTTTTAACCATGGTGGCAAAGAAAATTGTGCAAGGATGGAGATGCTTCCTGAAATCTAACAGGAATACACATCTGTGCATCCTTGACACCAAATCAGTTAGGGATCATCAAGGAGTTAGGGAGGAGAGATATCTCTTTGTAGCTTGGAAAACCCATCTTGCCTCATATCAAATACTCTGAGACTCCCACCTCAAAAACTGCTAAAGTATCTCCTAAGCAAAAACTCAAATTCCCTGACCACTTTGGTTTTGCACATGCCAATACAGTTTCACAGACTGCTAGAGGAATGAAATAAATATATTTTAATAGAAATCATTCTCAAAAAAGCTGTGATCAGTGACAGGATGATGCATTTGTTATGGTAGATTTAAACTATGATAAGAACCTGTTCTTTGAGTAGCTCTGACATTTCTCATTCCCGTCACTATACTATATAGAAAAAGAAGAAACTATTCTATTTACTGTATAGAAATCAGCACACTGTATTATGTACAATCTTCAAAAACATAAAACTGCTTTTGTCAGAGTAAATATTTATAGAACGGTGACTTTAAGATATTGCAGTGTTTAATAAAGAACTTTTCTTGCAGTTTAGAAATATGAATTTTGGTAAAAAAAATATCAGGATGTACATTTTCCTTTCCCACAGCATCCTGATATCTGAATTAGAGCATTCTGGGTGGTGGGTCTGGATGGGTGGCCTACTAGATGGGTAAAAACCTGCCTGGGCCCTGAGGCCAATAGTGTGGGTGGTTTAATGGCACACACTCTACCTTGAGGCCAGTTGTGATTTTTTCAAGATCTCTCTTGTCTAACACCTTTTACAGTGATCTGGAGTAGAGGTCAGAGCTCTTTTTCACTTCTGGGGGACACCTAGTAGGTGCAAGCAGCCAACCTGCTTGAAGCCATGGCTGCTTCCAGGAGCACCAGGGTGGAGGGATGGGCTGGCAGGAGCCCTAAGGAACAAAACAATGACAATTGCAAAGTTGTACCCCTTGAATGTCTGAAACCCAGGCAGTGGTAGAAGCTGTGGAGCAGCTCTGTAGAGAGGACAGTGGTGGACCACCATCTATGGATGAACATGCTCTGGCAGTGAGGGTAGCAGTGTTTGGGGCTGTATAATCAGGAACATGCCCAGTGGCAAGGGAGAAGCCTGTGCCCCTTAATTTCACCTGCTGACCCTATCTAGGAGATTATGTCTGGTTTCAGGTCTCTTGAGCAGTAAAGGAAGGCATTGTTAATGCAGCAGTTTCCATAGAGGATTGCCAAGATGGCTGGGACTGGAGCACGAGTGCAGGCATCCTGTAAGGAGAGGCTGAGGCTCGTTCATCTGGGAGAAGGAATGGTGATTCAGGGCACCCAATGGAGCCTCCAGTGCTTATGGTAAATTTAGCATGAAGACAGGGTCACAAGAGTCCCTGGAGGGACCCTCAGGAGGGTGAGAGACAACAGACACAAACTGAAATGGGGGAGGCACCACTGAAAACAGGAGGATGCTCTTTTACTCTCAGTCCAGCAGTGGAACAGGCTTCCCAAGGAGGCTGTGCAGCCTTCAGCCTTGGTGGCTTTCAAGACCTAACTGGATAAAACCCTGAGTAGCCTGAGCTGACCTCAGGACTGATTCTGCTTTGAGTGGCAAGTTGGACTAGAGATCTTCTGGGGCCTTTTCCAACCTGGATTAGTCTGTGATTCATTACATGTTTTAAGACCTTTCCTGGAGCTTTCTAATCACTGCCTTCTTTAACTTTCTTTGGCTTTGGCATGAAAATCTCCTAAACTATTTCTAAAAGTACATCTAAAAGAACATCCCTCAAAATAACTGTTCTGTTTTAGGTAGGTACTGTCATTATATATATATGTATATATGTATGTATATATATATATATATGTATGTATATATTTAAGTTCTGAATACTGCAGCTTATTTTGAAAGGCTCTTCATGAAATAATAAAAGCAAGGGCAAGCTTTTAAAAATTTAATCTAGATGAGCTATGTAGGAATGAATTATGCCTAAGGATACGCTGTCATATTTAAATGTAGAAAGGTATAATTACAAGTGCTACAAGTATGAAACAGAGCTTCTTAGAGAAATTAAGGCTTCTTTAAGAAAAATAAAAGGAATTGCAAATGTCTGTGTGGCTTAAGTTTTCTTCTTTTGTTACTATGGCTACAATAAAGAATTACCAAAAGAGAGAATTGGATTGGTACAGTATTAAAGATTTGAAGTGCTAATTAGTATTCTCCTTCTATTACTCTGATAGCCACATAATACACAGCCATTTATTCTAAATCACTTAACTCTGAATGCTTCTTTAGCTTTGTTTTGAAAGTAAATGCTGACTTTATTTATTACATATTTGTCTGCATTTAAAAAAAGACTCAGCTCAATTAACATATTTTTGAAGTCTAGACTTCTTAATTTTTTAAATACTTCAGACAGCCATTTATTTTCAACTTTTTAGTGATACTATTTTCTTTTTCACAACTGTATTACACAGTTTATTTCCTTTGATGTATAATCATTTATGTGGTGCCTCTATATTTCTGGCCACTCATAACTGTATGTGTATTTGAACCTAAGATTTCTCTGTCCCAAAAATAGCCCTTTTAAACTGAAATACCTTTAGGTTTTATACCATTTTAATTGCACATTCTTATATTTTTCTAAAATTATAGAAATATCTTTAAAGCCAAGCTGTCTATTGTGTACTGGACAACTTCCATGCTGCTTTCTTAATCTGAGTACTTACATATCTGTCTCATTTTGTAATCTAAGTTTGTATGATGTACATATACAGATTGACCAAAAGCATATAAAACTGTTTGCAAATAAAAATAGAGAAAGAATTACGGTACTTTATGTAGACACAGTTAAAATATTAAACCACTTAGTGAAAAATACCACTAAATGGAAAAATCAAGAGAAGAGTTTTTTCCTATATGTTAGGTACTGATTTTGATTCAGATTTTGATTTATTCTTGTCTCTGTCTCAGTCTTGGTAAGGGGCAAGCTATCTAAGCTCCTTCCTGCCTGAGGTGGTGGATGCTGGAGCTGATCTGACTGCTGGCTGCTGCAGTCCTGCCATCCTCCCTGTCTCAGCTCTGACCCTGGCTAAGGCATTTCAGTATGAAAAGCAGTATGAAAGGGTTTTGTTCTCCCCTCCCTGCTTTCCCCTGCTTTTTATAGCTTTAAGGCACAGAAACAGCCAAAATCACGGCTGGACAAACATTAGAGTTAGTGTGAAGAGAGGATTGCTGGTTTGCCAGAAAAGACAAACTGCTCTAAGTGAGACTAAGTTACACTGCATGGGATGCCAGCTTCAGTTTCTCTGCCTCTAACATTGGTTTAGTGTTGATTCCCTCTTTCTTTTCTCCATATTTATCCTAATTTGTTACCTGTAGCCTGTCCTATTTTAGCAGTGAGACATTTGGGAACACTTTACTAGACTAGCTATAATAAAGAACAAGAATATATGCATAAAAGTTCTAAAGGAAATATGCTGAAAGCAGCAAAAGGAAGCAACAAATGGATTTCTGCCAATAATGTGTAATAATAAATGGCTTCTTGGAAGGTGTTTCAGCAGATGTGTAAGAGAATGATAAGTATTTGAAAGCACTGGAAGACAGTAATACTCTTGCTCTTCATCATTACCAATAATAGGTATTTTAATAGATGCATTAGTAGCACAATCTGCAATAATAAGATCAAGCAAATCACAGGGCCTTCCTTGAAAATTTTACTGACCCAAAGACAGAACTACAGGTCACCAAAGTTTGGCTGCATTTTCATCACAAAGTAATTTGTTCTGTCTGGTCTGGATAAAATATTCTGCTCCAGGCATGGTAAATTTGACAAGATTACCATCGTTATTTGAGCAGACAATGATTTTGTCTGTCTAGGTCACAGTAATTTTTTTTTCCAAGGCAAAAGGAACAATTGAAGGTTTGGCTGGAAGTAGGGCAAGACTGTCTTAGAATAAGTTAAGGGTTAGAAAACTTATGGAGGGGAAAGAATTGGAAAATATTTACATTTGAACAAAATCTCACTGATTCCTGAGAAATAATGAGGGAGAAGATACTCTTATTTTTCCGTTTTTCAAATAGTATGGGAATCCCATGAGGTATGAGGTATGAGGTATGAGGTATGAGGTATGAGGTATGAGGTATGAGGTATGAGGTATGAGGTATGAGGTATGAGGGAGGACAGCACTACTGATCATGTGTGTTAGTTCAATGTTAGCTTTTTAATAAGGGTGGATAGGTGCAATTGCCTCAAAATCCCAAACCTATGGACATGGAAGTCCACAGCATGTGTGACCTGAGCACAGCTCTTAAATAAAGCCTACCAGCCTTGCAGAGCTCACAGAGATATCTCAACAGCAAGGAGATATCACATCACTCATCTGCACGAGTGGACAAAACAAAGATCTGTGAGAAGGAGCACACAGATAACACAGGGCTTTGTGTACCTTCCAGGA